AATGGGAGAATTGCAGGTTCTGCTCAGAAAGCAGAGCTCACAGCTGTATTAGAAGCTATGGGTACATCATGTGCGCTGAGAAAAGGTAACTTCCAGGTACGACACCAGCCGGCCCACACACTGAGTAACACCTCTGCTGCCAGAGGAAATGCTGAGGTGGACAGGCTAGTGCAGGCCAGAAGGGTGAGATTGGTTTTGCATGACAGTACAGAATCTGACTACGACCTGGTGAAGAAGCTGCATTAAACTCTGGGGCACCCCGGTCTTCAAAGGCTGAAGAAGTGGTGCTTGCAGAATGCAGTTTGCATCCCCCATTTGGACTCTGTGCTGAGAGATGTTAAATCACACTGCGCTCTATGCTTAGAGCTGGGTAAACAACCCACAGAGAAAGTGGTTGGCGACCGTATTGGTCCAGAAGGCTTGACCTCTGTCTCTTGTGACATTGGAGAGCTGAAGAGAACACGAAGGGGCAATAAGTATTTCCTGGTGGTCAAAGGGAACAGGGGGGAGAGTATAGGGGGTATGTTCCCTTTGCCCAATATGACAGCAGGAAAGATTGCAGATTGCCTAGCGAGAATCCTGGTGTGTTATCCACAAATAAAAGCTATCAGGATGGATAATGCACCACATTTCAAAAATAAAGTTGTTCTGGAGCTGCTGGAGAATGAAGGACTAATAATCCAGTGGTCTATCCCTTACAAGCCGCACACAAACTGAGTGGCTGAGAGAGCAGTTCGCACCGTTAAAGAGGTGATAAAAACTTTGAACTTGAAGGAATGGGATTCTCCAGGAGCAGTTCTGGCTATTAATAAGGCTCTATTAGAACAGCCTTTAAGACAAGAAACTGCTAAAGACACACCCTCTGTCTCTCCACAGGGAGAACAAGAGAGAAGCTTCCTGCATAAAAGACCCCAGGATGGAAAAGTTGAAAAGATTGAGGGGAACCATGAAGGGAACACAATCAGATGTGCAACCCCTAACCAGAAAACAGTCTGGCTTGTAGACTGTAAAGAACTGGGTACCACTAAATGAAGGTGGAATTGCATCCCCAATATGGCTGCTGAGTGCATCAAATTCAGGGGGGATTACATTAGGTAAAGTACGAGGGCAAAGTTGTGATGAGGAGTGCTTCAGCTGGTCAGTTTACAGACCGGGTACATGCGCAAACTGTGGCAATGAGGTTGCTGAGATAAGGTGGGAAGGCCTGAGATTTCTTAAAGACAAAGTTCTGAGAAAAAATCCTTCACCCACAAACGTTGTGGAATTACATGGTGTGATGAAAGTGGCGTGGTGTGGAGATTGTTGGATGAGTAAAGCAGGCAAAACAAGAATTGGTCGTCTGGATCATCATAGTGTTGATGAATCTAGAAAATGTTGTAGAGTGGACAAAGGAAGACTCTCCAGTTGTTCCAGTTCATGTGGGGTGCGAATTTACCCTGTGGTGTTGCTGGTTCCTGAGATGAGTCACCTGTCAGGCTTGACATGCTCCCAGGCATATTGGGAGAATTGCTTTAAAGAGATAGTGTGTACTAGAAAGGGAGGGAGTTTGAGTGAAACTTTCTCACCTTGGGGAAAGGTGCTGTGGGAAGCTACTGAACCACAGCTGTGTTGGAGAGACAGGCGAGGCAAGTTTCCTATAACCACTGACGAGTGGGAAAGGAGACAGGTTCGTCATGAGACAACAGATAAGGATTGGTACACCTCAGCTACTGTACCAACATGTAATGACTTGTCAATAACCAGAAGTCAGACGCAAGTATTAGTTAAAACAAAAAAAGGCTGGAGGAAGCTGGATGTCTGGAGAGACTCACTCAAGAAGAGTGATGGTGTTTTAATAGCAGTAAACTTGGAGTGGGATCGGCACGCGGAGACCCCCAGGCTATTTACAAGGGACACCGTGGCTGCGCCAAGGCCACAGGTGAATTAAGAAAAATGTGTATGATGAAGCTCTCTGCCTAATTCTCCTCGTCTCTACAGGCAGCAGAGATTCATGGATTCCTGCGGAGAGTGGGAGGAGGAGGAGCTAGATCGGCTCCTCACACGACCTCCTGATAAGACTTGCTGGGAGAGTTGGAGAGGAGGTATCTTATGTTGTATCGGCTTATTAATCTGTGTGGTAGCGATATCTTTTATCTCAATGCCTGTTTCACGAGTTGTAACACTCAAGACCACGGCTGTGGTTAAAGGGTGGGTTCACAAGCGACCAGGAACCCTAGACCTGCCTAGAGTGTCGTGCTTGACTCCTCATGAGGAGAACTTTAATGCCACTCAGTGGATGGAATATTGTAAGGCTGTTACACAGGGCTGTCCAATCCCTGATCCAGGCGAGGCCTGTAGCCCCACATCTACCGGCTGGCTGATGTGGTTAGAGCAGCTTAATAATGTCACCGACAGCCATAATTCTACTTATGGGCTGTTAGGATGGGAGGAAGGAAAGCTTAAAGTGTGGGATTTCACAGTTGATGTACAACCTGTGGAATGTATTACTAAAATTTACCATTTTGGGGTACTAACTGTCTGGGGAGAATATATAACTGGTTTTGATAAGGTTTCTGATTGCATGATATTCAGACTCCTTGCGTTCCCGAATGGAACTGCAGCTGGGAATGATAGCTGGGCAATGGAGGGGGGTTCCCTACCCCCCATGTCACAGCTGATTGCTCCACAAGACGCAGACACGGCTGTGACCCCTCACTTGAGGAGGCAGACGCGTGCTGCTAAGGAGCAGACAAAAGGCCACAGGCTTCCTAGTCCACAGAGTATTTGGTTGGACAGAACCAAAGCTTTTTCAGCTTACAAAATGATCCCTTTAGGAAAGGGAAAACAACTGTTACCCATGACATTGCATGTCACCCCAAAGGGAGTTAAACTAAACTTCATTCATGCTCCGCATGTGCTGAACAGGAGCTTGATAGATGGAATGACAGAATATTTTATGATCATCCCACGTCTGGCCTGGGACAAAGGAGAGGCGGATAGCGTGTGGAGATGTATTAAGAAATTAACTAGTGACCCAAAATACCCCAGAACATGGTGGAATAATTATATATGGGAGTTAATGTCCTTAGGTGGACATGTACGAGGTCCTTTTCCTGGTATGATTCCGAAAACGAGTCATGATGCATGGCTTGTGAATAGCACATCGAAGAGATGGGCTCTGAATGTGTCATATGAAATGTGGACGGAGGATGTTCATGGCTTAATGGGACATTTTGCCCCAAACGGGTTCGATAAGCCAGGGCGAGTGACAGAGTACGATGTCCTTTTTGGACAATGGTGGGCTACCAATCTGACAGAAGGGGTGTTAGAATGCAGGCCTAAAGAGAGACTCGGCTCTACAATCTTTTGGATGGCTAATTTACTGGCGTTGTTGAACCCAGCTACAGTCCCAACGATTAAAGATGTAAATGTGAAAAAAGGTGTAAATATGACTCCTCCGTTCGTGAGGATGGAGAAACATGGCAGTTTATTAGAACTGACTATGGTCCAATCTCAAGGTCCGCATCTAGATGATTTGTACTCCACTCCAGCTTATTCGAAGTTTCGGTTTATGAATATGACATGGGGACATTATTCTGGAGAGCTGCGAGACTTGGAGTATGATTATGCGTATCGCGAACAAGCTTTACGATTCAGGGAAGCACATTGGGTGCGAAATTCTCTGTTAACCAGGTGGTGTAGGTCTGATGCGTGCTTCAGAACTCTGGCCCAGCCCGCTACGAAAATTGCTGTTAGAAATGGGAAAAATGTGTATAATCCTTATGAACTGGGCGGCTTTGTTGACCCTCACGGTTACCCCCACTGGTGGCACTCAAATTGGAGCAGTTACGTCGTCTGGGACTCAGAGAATTTCCCATCATTAGGAGTAGGATGGGGTTACTTTGCCAACTCGAAAGGCCCCAAAGCTTGTTTTTGTCAGGAAGACATAGATGCTGTTGAATACAGGAGCGACTTAGGTATATGGCCCTTTCAAGCATGGATTCCTGTTGGTGGGGGTCGTTGGGAGCAGAACTGTTCTGGTTCCTTTCATTTCCCCAATCGGACAGGCACATGTTGGTTGAGTGAAAGAGCTAGGATGTCTGATTGGCAATTTGTCCAGAAGGGTTTTAAAATTATTGGCCAAGGATTAACCTTAGGTATCAGAGAGGCCGTCAAGGTGGTCGCCCAGGGAGCAATGGGTGTTGCCTCTCTGGTAATCTCTGAATTATGGGTTTACGCCAAGGTCCCTGTGATCGTAGGAGGGGTCCTGGTGATGTTATCTGTTTGTGTTAAACTCATGCATCTTTTGAAGTGTTTTGCCAGCTGCAGCAGGAGATCTGCTAATCAGCCCCGATGGCAGGAGGAAGGGCCTCCTGAGTCAATTAGATTGGGACCACGTGGACGCCGGGCACTCAGGAACAGAGCTGCACGCAGGTAGCATCTCCCTTGTAGAGAAAGTTCTCAAGGTATCATGGCCCGTGCAGAATCTCCACGTGAGGTATTTGAAGAAGCAGATGAGGATGTGCTGATTACCTCGGTAAGACTGTCTCTATTGGGTTAATCTTACCGGCGAGATATGCTAATATTAGATGCACAAGAGGCCTAACTGAGGACTCTTGGAATGTTGATGTGATAACTTCTGCTTAATGCATGATGAGAGAATGATTGGTACATCCTGTTATCTGATCAGGATGGAAAGGCCCACTTATTCATTGTGGTTACTAATTTGCATGCTGTAACTGGTGTAATTCCTGCGGGAAGCAGTGAAGACCTGTGACCTGCATTAGAGGTCTCTAGGATTTTTACATACCTATTAGTGGCATGTTTGATATCATTATATGGATGTGTTGTACTAACAGAATTAATGATGAAGAAGTGTCTGGTTGCATTTTGTGAGAAAGACCTGACCTCATGTTCACAGATGATGGTAGGGTGCCGCTGACCCCTAGTGGGGTCATAAAGGTCATGCATGACTGGTCTCAGAACCAAGGTCTGTTTATTGTCTCTGTGTGTGGTTTTAGGTTGATGAATCAGAGGATCTATTGCCTGGCCCAGACTCTCAGGAGATGCTGGTGCTGCCACCCAGTGGACAGAAGCCGCTGGTGAACAAGCGACGTCAGCCTGGGGTGATGCCACCCAAGAGAGTTTCACTTTACGGGCTGGTGGATGGTAAACCTGTAAGGATAAACCCGAATGGACCGTGGAACGCACATGTTTGGGAACGTATTGTGTTGGTCTCTGATGGTACCAGTCATAAAGGGACTCGAGTGGCGAGGAGGGAGAAGATTCTTCAGAGAATTAAACGCTCGACTCTAGTTAAGCATTTTGATTGTGTCAGGCGCGATGTGTCGCGGGGCCAGACACGCTTGCCCTGTGTTCTCTCCCATTTCAGAGAAGGCGACGTAGATTGGTGCTGGATCAGTACACCCCACAACGACTACGTGCAGGAGTGCGAAGAACCAAGGCGTGTGGTCAGGATGCAACCATCACCTGCCAAGGTGGACGTTCCGATGCAGGAAGTGAGCCCTCCGGAGTTCGATCTGCGTCGGCAGCTTCAGGCCGCTCCGTCTGTCCAGGCCATGGTGCCACCAGTGATGAATGCAATAAATCCACATGTTTGCTTGTATCCAGGAAATTTGAATATGCAGTATTTCCCGCAGTTTATGCCGTTTAACGAAGCCTGGTTTCAAGGGGGGTGTTGAATAAAGATTTTCGATTCCTCCAGACCTGTCTTATTATATAACAGCAGTTCTGGATTACATCTCAAATCTGTATGTTAGTGAAACCAGGCTTCAGGGTTCAGCTAGAGGTCTGTGTGTGGTGATTTGACTCCTGATCTCATGCTGCCATAAATGATGTGTGTGTTTCAACTAATCTGCTATCCATGACAAATTTATGTTGTAGTTTAACCTTGTATCGACTTTTTATGGTGTAGCCCAGGATGTGATAAGAACTTCAGGGACACGTATAGAGATGTTTATGTTTGACTTCCTTGGATCTGAGCTGAAGAAGGAAGAAGGAGGAGGGAAGACCCCCGCCCATCTGGCTGATACCGGAGGGGGCTGGGAGAAGACCCAAGGCCGGAAAATGCTTCCGAGGCAGGGGTTGCCATGGAGACGGAAAGGGGGCTAGGAGGAGAGAGTTGAGGAGAATAAAAGTGTGAGGGCTCCGTGGAGAGGGGACTCTCGGGCTTTTTGGGTGTTTGGGAAGAGTTCGGAGGACAACTGTAACGGTTGAGTGATCTGACCCGCTGCGTCGGGAAATCTGGAATATTTTTACTTCATCATATAAAATAAAATATTTGCTCCTTCATATAAGGGGCTTTAAACGGAATCTCCAGCCTGGGGTCTCCAATCGTGTCGTGTAACAGCGGAAAGGTGAGGCGCTAGTTATTTCTAATCCCACTCCAAGAGGGTAACACTTAAGCTTAAAGTCTTTAACCTGGGCATAGCATAAGCTGCAGGTGACTGAGTTGTGGTGAAGTTATGACAAGAGTCTTCCTTTGTGCTGCTAAAGTATGTTTGCCAGAGTCTAAATCTAGGTAAAGATGATCGCTGATTAGCTCACAGAGGTGTAAGCTCAGACTGGATTCACGCTCACGCACAAATAGAATTACAAGTCAACCCTGAGACGTAGTGTTTATTAAAGAGTCAGCTAGTTTGGGAGGATGACTTGTAACAATATTCTTCAGAAATTTCTGGGAAACAGTGCATTTGGTGAGGTTTACAAGGGTTTAAAACAGGGAACAGCTGAAGCAGTGGCTCTGAAGTTTATCACCATTGATTAAGTTAATCGATCACTTTGAATATAATGACAGCTTCTGTTTAGTGTTTGAAACATATTACATGAATATATTTGGTTTATTTCAAATGAGAGAGGGGGAACCACTAGATGTCAGTCAAGTCCAGGTGGTTTGCCCACGACCTGCTGGTGGATCTGAGTGAACTCAAAAAAGGGAAGAAGACAAATCAAAATACACCAGATTTCATTGTTACACAGATCTTGGATACAGAGGTTGATTCTGATGAGGAAACTTCAAAGAATGAAAGCATTCAAAAGAACTCCCTTTAGTTTGAGGATGTCACCATCTGTCAAGGGGAAAGAGTAATAAGACATAATTAGGATGCAGTTTAAGTTTTAATAACTTTTATTTCTAATAAATTTCTATCTTTCCCTTCATGTAAAGATACAGAATACATTCTTAGTGAGTTTAAACTAGTGTCTGATTCAGCTTTTTAACTTTCAGTGCAGTTTTAAATATTTGAAAGAATTCTATTACAATAATGTCCGTCTGTGAACATCAGAGTGGTAGAGGACAAACAAATCTTCATGAGAAACATTTTTAACTTCATTTGTCCATGCAGCTCTTTACTCGCTCCAACTCCAGTTACTAATCCATCCCAACTAGAGGAAGCTGTTTTTATTCTGAGACGGCCATGGTCAGTTTAGTTAGAGATGTAGATCATTTGACAGACAGCAGCAGCATTTGGCATATCATCAATAAAGTAAAATGTGATCATGAACATGAGTAATTATTTTATTTTTTCAGTTTAACCACATGATGCTGACTTCCGTGACCTGCTGAAGCATGCTACACACTCAGGATAACCATGGTAACACGACGTGTCTTCCAGAATAACCAGAGCTGAATCAGGACGTCTGAACAACAGAACCTTGACAACGTTGGTACTTACTGCAGGACTGTTCATTTGCATCTGTTAAATTATTTATCACTTACGGTCAGGTTGGGATTAGAGTCTTTACTTGAAGACAGAACAAGAAGAATTATTAACAATGAAATATCAGCATAAATAAATAACTAGATCATTAATTAATAAGTTTCAGGTCAAACTGCTGCCTTTGCATTCATGTCCATCTTCATGTATTCACATGATCCTGAGTGGTGATGAGCAACAATCAGGTGGGTGGAAGCATCTGGTCTGGTCAGGGAAGGAGTAAATGCTGGTAAGTGGAGTGGTGCAGCTGGCTAGGTGATGGGGCCTTTTCCAGGATCACTGGTATTAAAAGGAATGGTAAGGGAGCTAAAATCCCTCCAAAAACACCACCCATCTGTACTGGTGCTGGAGTGTTGGTGGGGGTTTGCTTGTTGTGGTGCTAAATGATGTGTTTCTTTGTTTTTGTCTCTTTTCATCTGGGTTCTGGTGTCAGAGAGAGGGATCCTCTAGTCCTGAAGAAGTCTGGAGCTTGCTGATCTCACTGAAGCAGTTCTTTTGTGGGGTCTCGTGAGACTAAAACATGTCAATGCCTGACTTAAAATGTTTGTGCAGGTTGAACTTATCAGAGTTCTCTGTTATTATGATCTCTGGCTTTTAATAAAGAAATAAATAAAAAATGTTTTTTTTTTTTGACTCACATATGCTGTTTTCTAATAAGGTTTTAACCAGAAATAGCTTTATTTAAATTAACATTTTAATAAATTAGTTACTATTTTACACTAGTTGTTAGGGTGGAAGGACAATCAGCAGGGTTATAGATGCATTTACAATCACATGTTTTCCCCCAAGTTATTAAAAACGTGTTTTAAATTAGTTTAGATCATCTCATGTTCCATCTGACAGCAGGCAGATAACAGACAGACTGAAGATTAAATCCTGGAAACAGTTATCTCTCCTGCTTGGTAGATCTGAAGGAACTACTGACATTAAAGTCTATATTAAGACAAAAAGAAGAGCATCTATGCTAGCATGCAGAGAACAGAAGCTCTCAAATTATAAACCACATTCTTTCATTGATAGGTGTATTCTATAAACACTTATTTTTATACAATTATAACTATTTTAGCTAAATACGATCTGTAACCCACGTGTTTTCTACGTTTTGTTTGCAATATCTTTTAAAAATATAAAGTTGATAAATGTTTGTGGCGCTCCAAAAAATAAATGCTTTGATAAAATACATAATTAGTGTAATAATAAACATACATTATCGGTCAAAAAATATCTGTAGAAATGAGAAAAGGGTCGTTTTAGCGTCGAGTCCGGCCAGTAACCGCTCATGTTGACTAGCAGCGCTGAGCTGTTAGCGTTAGCATTAGCAACTAAGGGCAACGTAAATCACGTGACCATTGCTTTGATGACGCCACGTGACCACTGGGTGCTTTGATTGTGTCACGTGACCACTGGGTGCTTTGATGACGTCACTACTATGCGTCGTCATATAAAGGTCAGATCAGATTCCAAATGTCATTCTGAACCATCGCAGCTCCAGAGCGGTTGTGTAGCATAAACATCCCTTCTGACAGTATTTAGAAGGACTCATTCTTTTACTGACAGGAACTTTGTGAGTAGCCTATCACAGTCAAAAGCTGAAATCAAATCAGTTTTAAGAGACAATCCATATTTTGAACTTGATAAGATTCAGTTATCAGTCACCAGTCTTTCAGCTTCAGTATTCAGAACTGGAAAACAGCCAATTAAGCTAAAATGCCTCTTAAGTTTTACAAAAACGAGATCCTTACCGGGCGATCTGGAGTTTATATTCTTCAGAAATTTCTGGGAAAAGGTAATTTTGGTGCAGTTTACAAGGGTTTAAAACAGGGAACAGATGAAGCAGTGGCTCTGAAGTTTATGGATCGCCGTGACTCTGCTTTCGGAGAAGTCATTATATTGGAACATCTCAGAGAACTCCAGGCTCATGAGAACGCCCTGATTAAGTTCATCGATAACTTTGTTCACAATGATCGCAACTGTTTAGTGTTTGAGATGCTGGATATGGACTTATTTGACTTAATGGAAATTAGACAGAAAAAACCACTAGATGTCAGTGAAGTTCGGGTGGTTGCCCGCGACCTGCTGGTGGGTCTGAACGCACTGAAGAATGCTGGAGTGACTCACGCAGATATAAAACCAGACAATATTATGCTGGTTAATCACCAGTCGCAGCCTTTCAGAGTCAAGCTGATAGATTTTGGGCTTGCTATAGAAACATACAAACTACGGCGTTATGATACCATACAGGTGTGTGGTTTCAGAGCACCAGAGGTGAACTTAGGTCTCCCTCTGACTGAAGCCATTGACATGTGGGCTGTTGCTTGTACACTGACCTACATCTTTCTTGGAGATCATATTCACAATACTATTTGTGAGTTTAAAAATATGAGGCAGATCTTTAAGCTCCACGGTCTGCCTGACCAGGATTTACTTGGCAAGGGAACGAAAGTGGATCGCTTTTTCATTTTTGACCAGTCAAACCAAACTTGGAGGTTTAAAACACCACAGGAGTATACGGAGAGGATAATCATCGATGGCGACAAACATGATGTTGCGTTAGACTCTATCGATGACTTTTTAACAATTCATCCAGAAATACAAGACCCCTTTGAGTTAGAAGATCTGCAGGCTTTCGTAGACCTCCTGAAAAAGATGTTTACAGTGAATCCCTCAGAGCGGATCACTCCAGAAGAAGCTCTAAATCACAGATTTATAACAATGAGCCACCTTCCTCCTACCAGCAATAACTCATATGTGATATGGGCATATGAAAAAATGAAAGTTTATCGAATGGAGAAAGAAGAACCGAGCATATCCCCTGATTTCAATGTAAGACAGACTGCTGACAGAAAATCAGATCTCTCTGATTTCAATCCATCTGATTCTGATCTGTCGGACTCAGATCTCTCTGAATTAGAAGATTCTGACTCTGATCTGTCTGACTTTGATTCATCAGATTCTGATCTGTCTGACTTTGATTCATCAGATTCTGATCTGTCTGACTTTGATTCATCAGATTCTGATCTGTCTGACTTTGATTCATCAGATTCTGATCTGTCTGACTTGGATACAGATGAAGAATCTAATGAGCCAGCGAACACATCAGATTTTCAACTCCTTAAGATTCAGGACGCTAATTTATCAGATATGAAGTTGCACGATCCAGAACTGGAAGGCAGCAGAAGAGACAGACTAGATGAAACATCTTTTGAATTATACAAAGATCAAACAATCACTGGGGAATCGGGAGTTTATATTATTCAAAAATTTTTGGGTCGTGTTGCTTTTGGACAAGAGGTCAAGGGTTTAAAACAGGGGACAGATGAAGTCGTGGCTCTCAAATTTATCCACAAAGACAACAGTGAATCAGCTACCGCAGAAGCCACTATATTGAAACATCTCAAGGAGCTCCAAGCTGACCAGAAGAACCTGATCAAGTTAATCGATCACTTTGAATTTAATGACAGCCTCTGTTTAGTGTTTGAGATGCTGGACATGGACTTATTTGGTTTACTTAAAACGAGAGAGTGGGAACCACTAGATGTCAGTGAAGTTCGGGTGGTTGCCCGCGACCTGCTGGTGGCTCTGAACGCACTGAAGATTGCTGGAGTGACTCACGCAGATATAAAACCAGACAATATTATGCTGGTTAATCATCAGTCGCAGCCTTTCAGAGTCAAGCTGATAGATTTTGGGGTTGCTATGGAAACACACAAACTATGGCGTTGTGATACCATACAGGTGTGTGGTTTCAGAGCACCAGAGGTGAACTTAGGTCTCCCTCTGACTGAAGCCATTGACATGTGGGCTGTTGCCTGTACACTGGCCTTCATCTTTCTTGGAGATTATATTCACAATACTATTTGTGAGTTTATCAATATGAGGCAGATCTTTAAGCTCCACGGTCTGCCTGACCAGGATTTACTTGGCAAGGGAACGAAAGTGGATCGCTTTTTCATTTTTGACCAGTCAAACCAAACTTGGAGGTTTAAAACACCACAGGAGTATACGGAGACGATAATGATCAATGCCGACGACTATGATATTGCGTTAGACTCTATCGATGACTTCTTAACGATTCATCCAGAAATACAAGACCCCTTTGAGTTAGAAGATCTGCAGGCTTTCGTAGACCTCCTGAAAAAGATGTTTACAGTGAATCCCTCAGAGCGGATCACTCCAGAAGAAGCTCTAAATCACAGATTTATAACAATGAGCCACCTTCCTCCTACCAGCAATAACTCATATGTGATATGGGCATATAAAAAAATGAAAGTTTATCGAATGGAGAAAGAAGAACCGAGCATATCCCCTGATTTCAATGTAAGACAGACTGCTGACAGAAAATCAGATATCTTTGATTTCAGTCCATCTGATTATGATCTGTCGGACTCAGATCTCTCTGAATTAGAAGATTCTGACTCTGGTCTGTTCGACTCCGGTCTGTCTGACTTTGATTTATCAGATTCTGATCTGTCTGACTTGGATACAGATGAAGAATCTAATGAGCCAGCGAACACATCAGATTTTCAACTCCTTAAGATTCAGGAAGCTAATTTATCAGATATGAAGTTGCACGATCCAGAACTGGAAGGCAGCAGAAGAGACAGACTAGATGAAACATCGTTTGAATTATACAAAGATCAAACAATCACTGGGGAATCAGGAGTTTATATTATTCAAAAATTTCTGGGTCGTGTTGCTTTTGGACAAGTGGTCAAGGGTTTAAAACAGGGGACAGATGAAGTCGTGGCTCTCAAATTTATCCACAAAGACAACAGTGAATCAGCTACCGCAAAAGCCACTATATTGAAACATCTCAGGGAGCTCCAAGCTGACCAGAAGAACCTGATCAAGTTAATCGATCACTTTGAGTTTAATGACAGCTTCTGTTTAGTGTTTGAGATGCTGGATATGGACTTATTTGACTTAATGGAAATGAGACAGGAAAAACCACTAGATGTCAGTGAAGTTCGGGTGGTTGCCCGCGACCTGCTGGTGGGTCTGAACGCACTGAAGAATGCTGGAGTGACTCACGCAGATATAAAACCAGACAATATTATGCTGGTTAATCATCAGTCGCAGCCTTTCAGAGTCAAGCTGATAGATTTTGGGGTTTCTATGGAAACACACAAACTATGGCGTTGTGATACCATACAGGTGTGTGGTTTCAGAGCACCAGAGGTGAACTTAGGTCTCCCTCTGACTGAAGCCGTTCACATGTGGGCTGTTGCCTGTACACTGGCCTTCATCTTTCTTGGAGATTATATTCACAATACTATTTGTGAGTTTATCAATATGAGGCAGATCTTTAAGCTCCACGGTCTGCCTGACCAGGATTTACTTGGCAAGGGAAAGAAAGTGGATCGCTTTTTCATTTTTGACCAGTCAAACCAAACTTGGAGGTTTAAAACACCACAGGAGTATACGGAGACGATAATCATCGATGGCGACGACTATGATATTGCGTTAGACTCTATCGATGACTTCTTAACGATTCATCCAGAAATACAAGACCCCTTTGAGTTAGAAGATCTGCAGGCTTTCGTAGACCTCCTGAAAAAGATGTTTACAGTGAATCCCTCAGAGCGGATCACTCCAGAAGAAGCTCTAAATCACAGATTTATAACAATGAGCCACCTTCCTCCTACCAGCAATAACTCATATGTGATATGGGCATATGAAAAAATGAAAGTTTATCGAATGGAGAAAGAAGAACCAAGCATATCCCCTGATTTCAATGTAAGACAGACTGCTGACAGAAAATCAGATCTCTTTGATTTCAATCCATCTGATTATGATCTGTCGGACTCAGATCTCTCTGAATTAGAAGATTCTGACTCTGGTCTGTTCGACTCCGGTCTGTCTGACTTTGATTTATCAGATTCTGATCTGTCTGACTTGGATACAGATGAAGAATCTAATGAGCCAGCGAACACATCAGATTTTCAACTCCTTAAGATTCAGGAAGCTAATTTAGCAGATATGAAGTTGCACGATTCAGAACTGGAAGGCAGCAGAAGAGACAGACTAGATGAAACATCGTTTGAATTATACAAAGATCAAACAATCACTGGGGAATCAGGAGTTTATATTATTCAATCATTTCTGGGTCGTGTTGCTTTTGGACAAGTGGTCAAGGGTTTAAAACAGGGGACAGATGAAGTTGTGGCTCTCAAATTTATCCACAAAGACAACAGTGAATCAGCTACCGCAGAAGCCACTATATTGAAACATCTCAGGGAGCTCCAAGCTGACCAGAAGAACCTGATCAAGTTAATCGATCACTTTGAATTAAATGACAGCTTCTGTTTAGTGTTTGAGATGCTGGATATGGACTTATTTGACTTAATGGAAATGAGACAGGAAAAACCACTAGATGTCAGTGAAGTTCGGGTGGTTGCCCGCGACCTGCTGGTGGGTCTGAACGCACTGAAGAATGCTGGAGTGACTCACGCAGATATAAGACCAGACAATATTATGCTGGTTAATCATCAGTCGCAGCCTTTCAGAGTCAAGCTGATAGATTTTGGGGTTGCTATGGAAACACACCAACTATGGCGTTATGATACCATACAGGTGTGTGGTTTCAGAGCACCAGAGGTGAACTTAGGTCTTCCTCTGACTGAAGCCATTGACATGTGGGCTGTTGCCTGTACACTGGCCTTCATCTTTCTTGGAGATTATATTCACAATCCTATTTGTGAGTTTAACAATATGAGGCAGATCTTTAAGCTCCACGGTCTGCCTGACCAGGATTTACTTGGCAAGGGAACGAAAGTGGATCGCTTTTTCATTTTTGACCAGTCAAACCAAACTTGGAGGTTTAAAACACCACAGGAGTATACGGAGACGATAATGATCGATAGCGACGACCATGATGTTGCGTTAGACTCTATCGATGACTTTTTAACGATTCATCCAGAAATACAAGACCCCTTTGAGTTAGAAGATCTGCAGGCTTTCGTAGACCTCCTGAAAAAGATGTTTACAGTGAATCCCTCAGAGCGGATCACTCCAGAAGAAGCTCTAAATCACAGATTTATAACAATGAGCCACCTTCCTCCTACCAGCAATAACTCATATGTGATATGGGCATTTGAAAAAAGGAAAGTTTATATAATGTAGGAAGAAGAAACAAGCGGCCCGTCACCTGATTTCATCGTGGGACAGACCGCTGACAACAAACCAAATCTCTTTGATCTGAATCTGTCTGATCACAATCTGTCAGACTCAGATCTCTGTGAATTAGAAGATTCTAACTCTGATCTGTCTGACTTAGATACTGACGAGCCAGTGAACACGTGAGAATTGGATGTTGACAAGTTTCAGAAAGCTGATTTATCAAACTTTAAGCAGTACGATTCGGAACTGGAAGCCAGATGAAGAGACAGCCTAGATGAAATGTCATTTGAATTATACAAAGATCAGACAATCCCTGGGGATCCAAGAGTTTATGTTAGTCAATATTTTCTTAGATAAGTTTATTTAGACAAGTGGTCAAGGGTTTAAAACAGGGGGCAGATGAAGTCGTGGCTCTCAGATGTGTCCACAAAGACAACACGGGAGCAGCTACCAGAGAAGCCACTATATTAAAACATTTCAGGGAGCTCCAAGCTGACCAGAAGAGCCTGATTATGTCAATCGATCACTTTGAATATAATAGGAGTGGCTGGATAGGCCTAGAAAAAAATGTGGGGTCTGCACACCAGATTAGTCAGTGTGTTAGCTCTAGTAGAGTTCAGCCTGTGGCGTTGCATTGCACGTTCCTTTATTCTTTCTCATAAAAAAAAGCAAAAAGTCCATTACACTCAGATCAAAATTGAAGAATGCAAAATTAGTTACACTACTGTGGATACAGAGGAAGATTCTCAGGAGGAAACTTCAAACTTAGCATTCAAAGTTTTAACGTTTAGTTTTAGCGTTTAGTGTTAGCGTTTAATTTTAGCGTTTAGTGTTAGCGTTTAGTTTTAGCATTTAGTGTTAGCGTTTAGTTTTAGCGTTTAGTGTTAGCGTTTAGTTTTAGCATTTAGTATTAGCGTTTAGTTTTAGCGTTTAGTTTTAGCATTTAGTGTTAGCGTTTAGTTTTAGCGTTTAGTGTAGCGTTTAGTTTTAGCGTTTAGTGTTAGCGTTTAGTTTTAGCGTTTAGTGTTAGCATTTAGGTTTAGCGTTTAGTTTTAGCGTTTAGTGTTAGCGTTTAGTTTTAGCGTTTAGTGTTAGCGTTTAGTTTTAGCATTTAGTATTAGCGTTTAGTTTTAGCGTTTAGTGTTAGCGTTTAGTTTTAGCGTTCTAAAACTGGGTTAGGCCATAACAGGGTTGGGGTTGGGTTAGTAATAAAGTAAACGAACAAAAAAAAAAAAAAATCCTCTACTATTAATCGCCACCTTATCGCGGTGTAGGGGTTTGCGTGCCCTGATGACCCCAGAAGGTATGTTGCCTGGGATTGTTTGTCCCTGTTAGGTTCTGCCATGGCAACTGGGCTCTGGGTCAGGGGCCAGACTAAGAGCGATTAATTAATTCTTATTAGGACTACAAAAGCAGTGGAGAAAAACTCTCTCCAAGACTTTTTAAATGATTGAGTTTTAGTAGTTACGTAGTTGGTATAAAAGAAAAGTTTTCACAGAAAATATTTTCCGTTATCTAGATCAGCGGTTCCCAACTTGACCCTCCAAAGGGGTCCCCACAACTGTGTCTGTGCTGAGGTTGTTGGGTTACAAAGATTATTTATTATTTGTAAAAAATTACTTTTCTAAAATCCCAATTACACGCCTAATCAAAAATATGTATAGGAGTTACAACACCGCATGTCTGTGCAGTTTGTAACTAATCATGTGTGATGTGTGTTTGTAGATGGGGTTGGGGGGGTCCTGGCTTGTTTTCAACACTGGTACGGGGGTCTTCATGGTAAACAGTTGGGAACAACTGATCTAGATGAAATATGGTGTTTACTAATTTAAAAACTGTAGAAATTTTAAAGTAGTATATTTTATTCTGAAAGTATTTACAGGAAGTGCCAATCATCTTGTTTAACTTGATATAAACGCTGTGGTAACAGCTTCTGTCCGCAGGAGGGCGGAAACATCCTTCATCGTGAAAGTCAGACAATGAAGGGTTTGCTTGTTTCAACCATCGACATGTGGTTTCTACCCAGTTGATCTGAAAAATTACATAAATCCCTTCAGTCAAATGCTGATTACAAATAAACCAATTAAAAATCAATTTAGACAGAAACATGTATACAAAAGTATTTCTATTTGTTAATGCTTATTTTGTGCATTTGGTTTAGTTTTATTTCTGAATTTCAGAGGTTATTTTTAAAGTTATTGATGAAACAAGGACCAGTAAGTAGACTGGATGCGGTCAAAACTCCAGAAGATGGCAGTAATGCAGCTGTGCTGCTAAACAGCTCTTTAATACCAGGACCATTTGTCACGGTCCGTGGTGAGCCTCCTGCATGTAACCTGTTTGTTCTGAGTATTGTTGTAGGTGGGTGTGTCTGAGAGCCACCAGCTGCAGCTGATCCCGTCATCAAGGCCCAGGGGATTTAAGGAGCAGTGTGAAACTTCACCACGCCGGATGATTGCTCATCTTTGGGTTTCACTCCACCATCTCAATACCAGCTCGGATTCCTGCACTTCATCTCATGCTGTCTCCTCCCCTGGCCGCCCGCTCTCAGCCGCTCACCTGCACCCACCAAGCCTCTGCTCCTACCTCCTCTCATATTCGACAGCCCCTCCTCCTTCTGGAGCCTTCCTGCTCACCTGGACCTGACCTAGCCCTTCCAGAGGCTCTCACCACTATCTACATCAGTAAGCTCTCCTCCTCATATTATCCTCCATCATTCCCTCCATATACTCACTCTTTCTCCCTCCTCAGAATCCTCTCCTGGAGCCTTGCTGCCAGCCTGCACGTCGCCTGTTCCCGTTCCTCTGATTTAATAATAAAGAACGTTTTACTTACTTGCCGGTTTCTTGTGATGATTCTGCATGTCGTGGGTCAAGAAACTCTCACCCGCCATGACACCATTAGCTTTACAACAGGTGTTTATTATAAAATACTCATCTGTGTCCGTATGTTTTTAAACTACTGAGTGTGACTTTTATGTTGTGGTTTATTATCAAAAGATTAATGGTTAATAAGTTTTATTATAAGATTAAACTCAGACACATACAGGATTATTGATGTTTCACAGATAATTTCAACTACTGTGAATATTTGATGACAGTTTCATTCTGATCGTGATTCGTTTCAGCCACAAACATTCCGAGGACCTTCTGCAACGTGCTACCTGATGGTGACATGCAGTCGAGAGGACAATAGAAGCTCCAGGTGTTTGTGGAATGTCAGAGCTTGTGTGTGTGACAGAGCGTGTGTGTGTGAGTGGTAGGTGAGTCTGTAACAGTAACTGGTCTGGCTCAGGTCAGGATGTGAGAACGTGTCCATGAGTTGAACCTGCTCCACCGTCCCTAAGCTGGCCTCTCGGATCGCTGCGTAGAACTTCTTCTCCTCCCACGATGGTCCAGTCCAGAAACTGATATCGAAGCTGAAATGCTCTGGGTGCAGAGAAAAAGGACAGAAAGGCGTCCCGGGAGGTGGGCCATGTGAAAACTGTCTTATGAAACGTGGCTCGTGAGACCAAAGCAAACGCCAGTCAGGGAGTGAAAACAGGAGAAGGTGAGGAGGTCCAGGTTCAGAGAGACAGTGATGGTGACATGGCAACTATCAGCTACACTGCTTTGAAAAACCTCACCAACCAAACCCAGTGGCTCTACTGTCAACTGCAGGCTTCTCTCCTCTGTTGCTACAGAGACTCTGTAGGGAGAAAGGAGTTTGTCCAGCCTACTTCTTAGTAATTTAATTGGCTCGGTGTCTGAAGGGAAAACACCTCTGAGGAGAAGCTGGTGGAAAGCAGGCAGGGCCCACAGGCTGATGGCTATGTTCCTGAACACCACACCACTAATGCCAAAGAATGAGCTGATGGCACCATTACAACCCTCATCGTTTTTATTCTTTTCCCCTTCAGACCTCACATCTCTCCCCCCACTCCCCCCCCTGAAGATGTGCTTCTTTTCCAGCCAGAAACTCGTTCAGCTGAGGGAGCAATGACGGACGCAGCACATATAGACTGCTTTCCACTTCAGGGTGAACATCACTGGAGCACGCCGGCCATAAGCTCTTCATCCTGCTCTCTTTATTGCAGGCAGCTTTTGAAGCACTTGATGCTTTTTGTATGTTTGGATCTTTTCCTTCAGCGGGACAGGTGAGGTCTCTCTGCAGCAGGTGGACCCAGTAACAGGACTGTCACAGTCGTTCACACGACAAGACGGGAGAGAAAGTGGACAACGGAGTCAAGTTTTATCGCTTCCCGAAGTGGAGAAAACATCACGGTAAATGTGTGGAGGAGCTCACAAGGAGACGCCAGATGGCGTGGATAGCTGCAGTGAGAAGGAAAGATCTGACTTTCAACTACATTCCTCCATCAAAGAGGGTGTGTTCTCTTCATTTCTACTCAGGTAATTTCATTTAACACAACTTTTAAAGGCTACACGTGAAGCTAACGTTATAAATGGCATATTACGTTTGTCGACAACCAGAAAGTAAACAATGAGGTGGTGAGTTTGTTCCCCTCATCTAAAAAAAAATGAAACATCTTCCCTTGGTGCGTGTGTGTTGTACATACTGATGACCATTTTGACCGTTTCCCCTACAAAGTGAGGACATTTTCTTGGTCCTCACGTTTTTCAGAAGCTTACTAGTAGGGATGGGCGATATGGCCCAAAATTGTTTTCACAATAATTTTAGGTATTTATTACGATAGCGATAAATATATGTGTGTGTGTGTGTGTGTGTGTGTATGTATGTATGTATATATATATATATATATATGTATATATATATATATATATATATATACATATATATATATATATATATATCTTCCTAGATTTGTTGTATGAAATGTATACAGTGATAATTACACAATGGTTCAAATAATGACAAGTTTAAAATGTATACAGCTTCTGTATTTATTTGTACTTTTACTGTGCATAAACAGTAGCAAAAATAGTACAAAAAGCAAAAGAAAACCATTTCTCCAGTGCCTTCAGTTGTTTCAAAATTACAACGGAGTGCCACCGTAAGTGAAACCTTATAACATCATATTAGGGCTGCATGATATTAGGAAAACCGGCAATATTCGATAACGGTGCTTAATATTGCGATATTGATATTACTTGCGATATATGAACAAATACTAAAGTATGCAGTGTTGATGTCGTCTGGCGTGTGACTTCTGCTCTGGGTTCAAAGCAAACAAAAACTAATGCATGAATTCCATGACAACATACCATTTTTATTGCTAAAATATGTAGCTGCACCTGCTACTGTATTAGCAGCTGCACCTGCTACTGTATTAGCAGCTGCACCTGCTACTGTATTAGCAGCAAAACAACAAACTGCATGCATGCAGTTTCTCAGTGACTTTAAAACATCACCACCACCATAAAACTTTTTCTGATGCTCCAAATACAGAAAAACATCCCTTACCAGGGTTTTTTGAATAAATAAAAAAACTCAAAAAATAAGTTTAAATGTTAAATAATAGTTAACATCACTTAAACGCAACAGCAAACTCTCTCATTGCTACTGAACATTTTCTCCATTTATGTGGTTATGATATAAGGCTGTTGCTGCTATTGGGAAGTGAACTGTGCTGGGCCAAACTAGGAAAATATTAAGATTTTTTGAGGGAAAGAGAAAAACAATTGTCTACCTTTCAGAAGAGGAACTGGCAAAAAACTACATGGAAAATATGTGAAAACGTTTGTTTTTAACCTCAAATTGAACAAGTTTACCTAGATCTTAAAAAGCAGCTCAGATGATGAAACTGCAACCAGTGGCGGCTGGTGAAAAATATTTTTGGTGGGGCTGTGCTATTTTTTTTAACAAACTTGTGCTTTCTGAGCTTTGTGCACAACTTCACTATTTCCTGAATTAAGCACAGCTCTTTTATTTCCTGTCTTACATCATTGGACAAACTGATTAATCAAGGTGCGTCTGACTATTGGCACGCTGCCTTGCGGACCAAGGTTGAAAAATACTGCATTAAATTGCACATAAAATAACATGACCATGAATGGTCCACATCCACATTACTGTTAGTGAAACTAACATACTGGAGAATTTCATCACAATAATATTAAATAAACAAGTATGTACCTGATCTTTTGCATGCTGTTGGTGAAGCTCTGCAGGGCCGGAGTGGGACACATTTTCAGCCCTGGAGTTTCAGACCCCAGACCGGCCCACTTAACGAATTATTATTAAAATCATGTTAGAACTTTATATGTATAGTCTACAAAAGCACACTACTCGGTAAAGCCTTGTAATTCAGTGCAAGAAAGAGTTGCTTTACAATGTAGGTTTATTTGAACATCAGTGCACATCTCCAACATTGTTCTTTACAACACATTCTCTAACAATATAACAATCTACCTTCTGTTCAAACAGCTGTTCTGAGATTTTCAAACCTTTAAAATGAAATGACTCAGCACTCCCTTTCACACTTTTTCCAGTTTCCCTAGACTCACCTGCACACAATTAAAATAATCATCTGTAAAGCTTTAGCACATTTGATATGGAAAACACATTTTTGTAACCAATTAAAATATTTTCTATGGCAAAATATGCAGGCTTATTTCATTTTACTTTCATTCTAATAGCGATCTGTTGTGGGCTTTGTGCATTTACTAATAAAAATACAACAGGTCACTACTATTATTTGGACATTAAAATTATTATAATGAAACTGATGTTTGCACATGAGTTGGCTCACCTTCTATCCCAACAGGAGCAATACCCTCACTGCTGGCTCTTCTTCTGACACTACATCACATTGTGTGAAAATGGTCACAATTCAGCATTCATTTTCCTTTTTTACACGCTTTCTGATCAATGCTGAATCATCTAGCATTTTAGAACACTTTCATATAGAGCCAGGATAGTTTTCATCATATAAATTTTAATAATATTCAGTTCACTGACTCAATAAGTAATCCTACCTGTACATGCCCGTTCTGGAATGGTGGGTTTCTGCCTGGTGCTTATTAGGCCTACTGGATCTTGTGTTTGACTCTGAGGGGCTACAAGACAGTTTGGTGGCATCAGTCACATCATACTGTTAATTATATTACATAACGTTATGTCATGATGCCATATAATTCATTATTGATGCTTAATTAACTTGAATGGTGATTTGCAGCTGGTAAAGTTTAACATCTTGACTTGCCTTACCCGTTTTATCTTCATTTGAAGTTAAAGACCGCAAGCTTGTTTGAGAAAAAAGGTGCTCATTTTGGCACATTTAGCTGCATCTGTTTCCAGCGCTTTCCTCTTTTTAATTCTTGCCTTCTCCGCGCCACCCTTGCTCTTTCTACTTTCCATCTTTCCGTCAACTGCATGGTCACGTGGTGCGCACAGGCGCATACGGGGAAAAAAAATAACGAGCGGCAGCCTGCAGGTAGAGCCAGCCAGTGACAGCCGGGAGGAGCGTATGAGATCAGCCGGGCGGCCTCAGTGCCATGACTGAACACCGGCACAAAAAAATAAAAATGATAAAAAACAAAAACGAGAGCACCGGCCCATGCGGCCCAAACATCGCGCGGCCCACCGGGAATTCTCCAGACCCTCCCGATTAGCCACTCCGGGCCTGAAGCTCTGGATGACCCCTGTGATGGAGACAGAGTCAATGTTCCTCTTCTGCAGCTGGTTTAACAGCATGTCCACGTGTGGCATGATCTTGTGACACAATGCCAGCAGAAAGCCGAAATCTTCTTCCTCCAGCATTCTCACAAAATCCTCCTGCCTCTCTCTCAGTGACTGTATCAAAGTCATCCGAGTCTCTGATCATCTGGAAAAATCTGTGGAGGTCATCCTTGTGCTCATACACTGTGTTGACATC